TTGGCATCGAGCCATCAGTGGGTAAGACGATCCATCAAGCCATCAGACGGCTAGATGATATTACCATTTTTTGCTATATATTACCAAATTTGTATTTGCAATTTCCAAATTCAATTGGCTCAATAAACTGGTGAGAGCACACTATCCCTTCATTGGACACTCAGATGGCTTCTCTTCCATAAATAGAAATATTATGAACCGTACGATGTGTTGGGTTGTGCGACCTGGCAGGATGGCATGCATAACCAACCCCTTGAGCTGTCATACAACTCCAGATTATAAGACTTCCACCATCAAATTTAACTGTCCCTTTTACTTTGACATGCTGCTCTGTCAACATACTGCCAGGCTTCTTCCACACCCACTCACATCCAATCTGACCCTAGATGGTTAATCTTAGTTTTATCAGACCAAATAACATGCTTCCAGTCTTCCACAGTCCAATGTTGGTATTTTGTTGCAAAGTCAAGCTGTTGGCAGACATGTCTTGGCAAAAGTCGTGGCCTTTTCTTCTTTGTTGCCTTTAACCCAGCTTTTTTTAAGGCATGGCATACTGTCTGGGCACTGACTTCTATATTGCTGACATCCCTTAGCTTATGGGTGAGCTGGACAGCATTATTTGCCTTGCCTGAAGCAATTGTGTGAAATAGCCTATTAAAAAGTTTCAAGTTTTTTTTAATAAAATAAAATTGCATTAAATATAAAAGCCAGAAAGCAAGACTATATCCAGTTTAAATTTCATTTATTTTGGTTGGATATTTGTGGAGTTATAAGCCTATACATTCAATTCTTCCAAACATTGAGCTGGTTTTGTGAGTCACTGTACCATATTGAGGAAGAACATGCTTTTCAAAATATTCTTCAGCTTCTTCTTTGTTCAAATCTCCAACAACATATGCAGTTGCATGTGGTATATGCAAAACTAGACAATAAATGTGGATTAGAGAATAATAAACATTTACATTGCTATCAAATATGATTATAAGAAGGACTTACAATTTATGATCCAATTAAAAAAGAATGAATCAGCTGAGGTAAGCACTACATGAAACTGACCCTTTTCTTTTGTATTTACCACCACCCAGTTCAGAATTGATTTAAGGAGAACTTTTCCCTCTTTTGAATTCCCATAAACATGTTTGCTTCATTGATGACCAAAATGGGTGGAGGTACCTTGTAACCATCCCAGTAGGTCCAATTCGGGAGAGCATTACCAATATCATCAAGCAACTTACTGACATTGTTAGAAGTAATTGCTCTCTCACTAAATAGATCCCCACCAAATGGCTTAATTTTTAACTGGATGTCATTCATAATGTAACTGATTTCTCCTTGTTCAAGTAACTTTTTAAAGACACCCGTATATTTTTTGAAAAATGGGGCAAATTGCGAAGATATTGAATCGTATATCCTCTTCGGTGTGTCAAATTGTCCTTCACGATGTAGTCAAATTTCGAGTACCAAACTATTTTTTATATAGTTCGTATTGTCTCCGAAAATAGAAGACTAATGGTTTTAGTGGAATTTCAGAATAAATATTTTTCCACTGGTTAGCAAATCCGATAACGTGTATAACTTAATTAACTGTAGCGATATACGGTGCCATGCAATATGATATTAGTATTTTCATAAAACTCCGGGCAATGGCTATCCAACATTACTATGCATGGAATGTACATTTAAATGCTCAGAATGACCAAATATGTATCTAAGACTGAGCCTCTTTCTAAGACAATTCTCCCTCTTACAGAATTTGGTAACACTTTTATGAGAAATATTACCAAAAATGTGTAGAAGATCCATGTTTTGCCGTAATAGTAGCACATTTTCACACAAAATGTTATACAAAAACATTGCCTTTCAGTGCACAAAATTATTGCTTTCAATTTAATTGTGTCCGTCGTCACCAACCTTATTTACACAACACAACTCTTTTCGAAGTATCAGCAATGCAATACGTCAATAGTACGGATTTAAAAATAATGAATAAGTCTATTACTATTACTGTTGTAACATAACAAATAATCAGATAGAAATTCTTAAATTTACGTGCGTAATTCATATTCCATGTACTCACGTTCGTATACTATATTCTTTTATTTGTTTTTACATTACAACAAGTTCAGTATCTCTGTTGCACCAGGTTAGGCTTCTTGGTTTTTATTCGTTCTTGTGTACCCTCATTTCCTCTATTTATGTATGTCAATAGGCGATGGAACAACATTCCAATTTGCGTTCCAACAGATTCGATGTCGAGTACCCTATTCGAACAGTAAATAATGGGCAATTTATTTATGCTGTTGGAATCTAAGAAGATTCTGAGAGTATTTATACGAATGTATGAACAACTGCTATTTGGTTAGGTTCAGTGTTAGAATGCCTTCGTAAGCTACAATAAAATAGTATTCGTAATTGTGCAAACCATGGTCTACGTCAAACTAATTAAACAATATTCGTTTTTAATAAATAATTAATAACTCTCGTTCCTCAATTAAGAGTTCTAGATCAACGAAAATTTATACAACTTAAATGAGTTGTTGAGTGAGCTGTTTTTACAACTTGAGTGAGCCGTTTATTAATATCTTGTTAAATAATTAATATCGCAACGATGAAAGAAAGTAAATTTTTGATTTCAAAGGGAATCGTTTATTTGATATCTTTAATTCTGTGAAGTGGAAAAATAATACGAACAAACTAAATAACATATACAACATGAGAATTTGACAATGGGGTAAAGGCCATGTCAAGCGGCAACCACCCGTCCGCTTGTTCGATGACTTCACTTCAACGTCCCATGTACCTATTCACCACAGCCGCCTGTGCGCGCCGTGAGCACAGACGACCCTTTGGAGCGGATAATCGAACGTTCACAGCAAGTAAATCAAAATGATCAGGCTTCAACTAGTTTTCGTGTATCCTATTCACCACAAAAACTCACGCTTTTTTTGTCGGTAACGGTTTTCGATTAATTTCCACTCCGTGTGCTTCGAAAACCACGATTTACACCTAGTGGCAGCGTCCCTTCAGATACACACATACTCATGACAACAATCTACAAGTGTGGCCACGGAGAGCTTTCAAGATTATCCGGCTTTTATACCTAGTGGCAGCATACCTTCGGATACAGACCCTCAACAAATTACCCAGTAAGTATTCTTACCTTGAAAGTGAACGTCTGTTGTGTTGGTAATGTCGTCGATAAACCGTGTCATTGTTCAAAACGAGTTGTAGCAAAGAGCTATATGTATGAGTAGACGCGTTAGACATTATTCCAATGATATTATTAATATGTAAAGTACAATCTTATTAACGTA